TGCAGAGCAGGGGGACGCGAGGAACAGTATTAAGAACTGCTGCTTTAGAACATTGATTTTGAAACTTGTGAATCCATTAGAATCGTTAGAAGACAGAATCGCGATTCATATATGAATAGATTTTTACATGCACCTCTAGTTTTCTCTTTCTGTTCTCTAAAGCAGCGCTGCATGGCCTTGCCCCCTTTGCTGCCTTTTCCCGAGGGTGGGGTTTATCTGGGTTTGTGATGTCACGAACCCGGGAAGTAACTCGTTGTAGTCCCTACCAGCTGTTTTTTGTAGGCATTAAACTGCCAGAATTTTAAAAGACGATATCTCCGTTTGCATTGAACTTTCAGCTTCGTAACTTTGCAGATATTGTTTATGCTCAAACAGCAACATTACACACTAACTAACGTTAATAAGTGAAATCGCAATCAACCACCCCTTTAATAGTAAGTGTTTTTCACTGCAAAATCTTGCTTAACAGACATGGACACCATTTACTTTCATTGCATGGATAAGAGCAGTCTGGACATTCTGCAAAATATCCCCTTTTGTGTTCCATGGAGCAAAGAAAGTCAGGGGTTTGGAATGACATAAAAATGAGTAAATGATATCAGATTTATCTTTTTGTAGCTGAATGATTCCTTTAGGTTTAATTATAAGTGAACAAATTGTTCTGACATTTTCACTTCCATCTTTTCTTTGAAGAACGCTTGTTGGAAAAGAAGAAAAAGAGTCAATAACTACAGTAAATGAATAAAAAGTCCAATCAGTGTAAGCCTATTTGTATTAATTGCAACAGCAGGGGCCATTTACTTTATAATGTGTTAGTGTCAATGAAGTAGTGGTTTTAAAAGATAATGTTAGTCTGTTAATAAAGGCCGCCTCAACTGATTAGTATTAATGGTACTGCTATTATTAAAATAAAGAAAATTGCTTTGCCTTTTTTACAAAGCAGTGGCTGCTGAGGCCATCTTGTTCTAGACAGACATAAATACTTTGTTCAGAACAAAATAATACTTGAATGTGAACAACAGATATGTACTCATGTATTTTATATATATATATATATATATATATATATATATATATATATACACACACTGTATTCTTTAAAATACCATCAAAAGGCACCAGACAACCATGGACATCCTGGAAATGGAGTTCTCAATTTTGCTCACATATGGCTTGGTTTTCCATTAGCTAAAGATGTTTTGCTAGTCTTCAAAAATGGGTATTCCCCTTTGAAAATACGTGGTGTGAAGATGCTAAACTATTGATATTTGCCTTATTCACACCCTTCACCACTTTTCACATGATGCAGTGTGTGGATTCCCCTCCCTCTGATAACTGCCATTGAAGACACTCTCATGAATGGCGAAAAGTCAAAAACAACATCTCATAAAGATAATAAAAAAAAAAAAATTAGACTTATCATTATGAAACCGTGTCCTACCTTTGGGATGTCTAGACATAGAGCTTTTATTGGACTTAGAGGCTTTGCTAGTTTTTTAAGTTTCAAGAGCTTCTTTGGGATCCGCGAAGTACATGAAGTAATTTATTTATCGGTATTCCTAATATTTGATGGTCATTATGGTTAATCACGATTACTCTTAACAACTATTATATTTACAAAATCAAATTTTATATATATACAAATACAATTTTATATTTTGTGAATATCATCCTTTCGCAGGAAGACCAGACCCACCTGTCAATCTGAATTACAATGTGACGACTGAAGGCGAAGTAATATTCAGATGGAGTGACACACAACCTGACAGTTATGCCATAAACTATGAGATCCGATACTCATCCAATTCCTCGCTTCAGCAGTGGGAGGTAATTGAACTCGTTTGTTGGTGTGATGAATGTGTTGTAATAGCATTACAAAGTAATGTTTGTAACTGTTACAGGCCCCTAGAGATTTCCACAGAATCAAAATTAAAGGGATTCAAATGTACCTTTCCCTTGTCAAAAAGAGCTACCTTTATCCAATGATCTCATTGCAGTTTGTAGGTATTTGTATCTAAAGTGTGATTTTAGCTCCACATACATTTTGGTATATTCGGACAGACAATGAAATATACAATTTCGACATATTGACAGCATCTAAAATGTAAACCCTTTCGCATATGAACACTTTTTTTTTTTTAGTTCCAACCATTCTCTAGGGTATTTTTATTGATTTGTACATCTCAAACTAAAAGGGTTTACAGAAATGTATAATATCAACATACAGTCGGTATGACAGTATATGTTTCATCATACTGTATATCCAAAAGTACAAAAAATGTAAATGAATACTGTTTCAATAACAGTTAAATCGCAATTAAATTAATCTAACATATTTAAATTAGCAAGTTTCTACAGATTTCGAATAAAGGGTTTTAAAATTGACCTTAATAAAATATTTTGACTATTACTCACATCTTCTGTTAGTTATTTTTTTTACTAGAATTTTTGTTTAATTTAATATGGCAAATGCGTGAACATTTGGGTGGCGTTATGCAAATCTTCCCACATAGTGATGTAGATATGTTGGGGGCGTGTTAGAACGAGCTGTTTTAGGTAGGTGTGGCTGACTCTTAACTTTTATAAAGAATATCTCTTTGGATTTGAGACTTTAGTCTTTGCAACTTTACAGATATTCTTTATGCACCAAGAGCTTGTAACACTCCAAAGAGAAAGGAAAATCGCATCATATGACCCCTTTAACCTACACAGTGTGAATGAATCTGTTTGAACTATGGCTCTTTTAGATTGTCAAGATCAAAGGTCGTTCCTGGGTGCCTCTGAATGATCTCAGTTCTGGGATCAGATACATGGTCCAAGTGCGCTGCCAAAGCCACTTCAACTACTGGAGTGAATGGAGCCAACCTTTCTATTTCACACTGGATGGTAAGGATCTGTAATACACATGAATTTTATGTACTAATTCTGTTCATGCTGTATGTGTGTACATTTAGGTAATGAATTAATTTAGTTCCAGAATCAAAGACCTCATCTCATTTAATGGCTCATCAGGTATGGTGAATAAGTAAATATATGCAAATACTGACATTTATGAAAGGGTACTCAAAATGTTGCTGCCTGGTATGTTCATGTTCCCATGACTTACAGCCTTCTGTTCTCAACAACAGAGTGCACAGGTCAACACATTTAACTTAACATCATTCCGTCTAAAAGCGGCTTTTAGTGTGCATCAAACTTCATGCAAATGAGTGCTTTTGCTGTTCCAGTTATATTTATCTTTCAGAGAGATCCATTGTCTTCCCTAAGCCTCCACTTTAAGAGTTTGACGTTTGATAATTACATTTATATATACTCTCTGCAACTCTGCATCTGTATAGTGCTTTGGCTTGTTGCTATGCACTCACAATATCACTTTGATTTGTCCTCTAAAAGATGCATCCAATTCACTGTTCATTTTCAGAATTAATTACAGTGCTAAACAGTCAGTTTTCTAATGTTTTGCGAAAGCATTAATATGCCATTTGATTGCAACCGAGGTTAGACATTGCATTTGCAACGTATATGGTATTTGCATACTTAATACTCTTAAACCAGATTTTCACTGTACAATAGAGGTTGCGCACACATTTGCATATAATAATTTTTCATGCCCATAATCACCAATTTAAAAATACAATAGCATATTTAGATTAATTCTTAGATGACAATAGGGTAATGTATTGTAAATGTTTACAAAGCCAGAGTATGTACTGTCCTTGAGTTCTTTTACCTTGTCATTGTTAGGTTTATTAGTAAATATGTTTTTGTTAAAAGCCTTCATAATTCAAATGGAACCCCAGTTTGCATATTAAAAGTCTTTTGCTTGGCATCATGTTCAGTCTCAGGCCAATAAAAGATCTTTAAATTCATTGAAGTTGAATGTGAGCGCTGTACCTATAGCAGTTAATTAGGTTCAAATAGCTAAAATGATTCATACTGATTCAGACCGAAGTTTTAGAGAACATAAAATTATGTTTACTTTAGATTCATCTGAACTGCTGTGGGTTTTTGTAAATTTGTCAGATGGCTTCCACATACTGGTAGCACACACATTGCATATGTGCACACATCCACCTTAGAGTGACTCAGTATTATGAAATAAATATTTTTGGTAACATGAATGAAGCAACTTCTTCTAAGAAAATTTTTACTTGAGATAAACTGTAACGTAAATACTGTCCCGTGGTAGAATAGAGCTTTATTTGTTATCTTAGCTGAATACTGACACTAATCAGGTGGGTGTTTTTTTGCTTTTAAATGCCCACACCACAGCAGTGCCCATGAAAAAAAAATAATCAGTTGAGTTCCGTAGCCAGTTTGAAATACTGCTGCCAACTAATGCTGCACCTAGCTGCACTTTGGGCTGTCTGCATATTAGTTAATGTTTCAACTGTTTCAGCTTGATTTAACATCACGAGAGACCTGATTCTGTCTCTGTTTTCCTACTTTGATGCATTACTCATATAGCACCTGTGATTTTGTATGTGTTGTACGCAGATCATACATTGTTTTTTTTTTTGATCTGCCAGTTGGGTTGTATATTTTCCGAATCCATGCTGCGCAATTCACCATAGCAACTAAGCTTCAGGTTGTTCACTAGCATTAAAATAAACCCACTTTCTCTTTGCAGCAAAGGACCAAGGTTGGAACGAGGGAAAATAAAAATCAATACAAGGGTGAATCTCAACAACTGTCAGAAACATGTCTAGGTCATATTTCATCCTAAAATTAAACAAAAATTTTTTTTTGCATTGT